TTTAGTTAACTGATATTTAAATATATGTATATATATATATATATATAGGATACATATATCACTGTTTTCTAATAAATCGGATTTTCTTTTCCATGCTCAAAGTTTTCCTGAAAAGTTGGTTACTAAAAATAAACATCAAATTTTAATCTTTGGTTTGGAATAATCCCAATAAAATATTTCATTTTTCATGAAAGGCTATTTTTATCAAGCTATCCGCAAGTAAATCAACGAAACTGTAAAGGATTATATAAAAAAAAAGATTTCCGATTTTCAGGTAAATTCATCTAAATAGATAGATAAATCAGTAGCCATATGCTAGTTAGACATGTTAACCTAAAAATTACTAAGCATTATTTTAAATAGTATGCAGAGATGAATAACAGCTGGCTGTGGAATCCAAGACAGACATTTGGTCCTATTTGGGACTCGTCAGCTGAACGTACTTGCATTCCAGAGTGGATGCTCACACAGGTAGTAGAACCCAGTACTTTCCACTGGCTCATACAACGCGATGACTTTTGGTTTCTTTTAACTGGCAGTTTGAATCTTCCCATTGGTAGTTAGGAACACGATTGATCACTCTCGTTTGGCAAACGTACATCCTACGCCGATTGCATTGATATTCTTATTAGGTCATAATTACGAATCGCACTTCCTCTGTTCAAATTCTAGTCACCGTTCATCTCTGCTTATGATACAAATGAATGAATAATTTGAACTGCTTTAAATGGCTATGCCATGATAAAAAAAAGTAAGCGACCAAAGGTTGAGCAGTTGTGTTTTTCATGATAATGATCCCCACCAAAATACAATAAACAGGTCATTTTTTAAAAGAAGAGAATAGTTCAAGAGCTCATGTATTTACAAGCTATTATTTATGATAAAATAACGTCAGCTGAAAAACATAGGATAACTCTACTGTAAACTGGTGAGTTCGTGATGTACTGCTGTGCAGCTCTGTTCAGTAACCCAGTTATAACATCTGGTAGAATTCACTTGATAATCCATTTCTAGAGGAATACAACTTACAGGGTAGACTGGATAATTCATTACTTGACGCATCCTAAGTAACCGATATAATGGAAACAATTTTATGTTGATTCTGTCTACTTCCCAGGCTTATCTGTTCAGACAAAAAATAATCACACAAAACTAAACTAAATTCACAGACAGTAAGGAACTTACCTCTGTAAATTGTTTGCATAATTATGGATATTATAAGTGACTGATTTCAGTGATACTTATTTCCTGAGTAAACACTCTTTTCCTTGTCTACATTTTAAATAGCTTGTTTTTTTGACAAAAGCGTTATGATAATTGCAACCCATTAATACCCCAATTATGCTTAGTTTAACATTATTTATGACTTAATTTTCCAGCCTGTAAATTTTTTTTCCAGTTGATTTTATCTATGATAGACAGTATGCATTGGAAATTGAACATTGAACTCAACGTTACAATTTGTACCTTACAAACAACAACTTTTATGACATTCATAACAATTTTGGAATTTTTCATTCCTGACACATTCCGTAAAATTCGCTTAATATCCTAACTAAATATCATTTACTTTGTAGAGTATAAAAATTACTAGTGAAACAAAATGATTATGAATAGAAGTTTATGATCAAATTAAAATCACTTGTAATCTAGTTCAATAGTTTTTAAAGTATAACTTTCCAATCTCATTTCATAATTTATCATCGTTTGAAAATTTCGCAACCCATATTAATTGCTAATGCGATTGAATGGTATTAAATTTAGATCAGATCACATTTAGATAAATTTTTCAAAAAGTATTATTATGAGACCAGTAACTATAAAACAAGTGACATGATTTGATCACAGTCACATTCGCATTGCAAACTAAGATAATAAAGCGATTTCCTATACTAAAAAGTAGCAAAACAATATGAAACAAATTGTCTCTCTGTTTAGAATAGAGGAAAAGCGTTCCCTTACATAAAATTCGTTGAGCGAACAAAAACTGTCTATTCCCTATGTTTTCGATCCAGTAGTTTTTATTACTTACATACTTACACTTGGTAACCTTAACCTGGCATAAGCCGCTGACCGGCATCCTCCAAACTACTCCGTCCTCAGTTTCTCTTTCCAGTTCGACCTAGTTAGTGTTCATTCTTCACGTGTCTATCTCCAATTATGTTTTTCGATATTCCTCTTTTCATTTGGCCTTGAGGATTCACGGTTATGCCTCTTGTCTCATGATACAGTTAGGGGCTTTCCTCAATGTGTATCCTATCAACTTCCAGCGCTTCTACCTGGCTTATTCTTTTGCCAGAATATGGTTTGTTCTCTCCGACAGCAGTGTCGTACGTTGACTGTTGTTGCATAGACAACTGTGAATAAACAGGTATATCCAGTTGATGATATCTCTCGTGGTTCTCCAAATTTCAGTCCAAACAATACAACTGTCTCGACGTTGTTGGTCGATAGTTGTTTTGAGGTACACATCTTCTCCAATTCCAGAAATGCTAGCCTTACTTTGTTGATTCGTGCCTTCATATCAGTATCAAGTCCTCTTTGTTTATCGGTGACGCTGCTCAGGTATGTAAAAATTTCCACATCTTCCAATGCATCTCTGTCAAAAAGGATTCGGTTGGTGAATATTATGTTGCATTTAAAGATCTTACTTTTTCCTTTGGGCATATTGAAATCTACTTCTGCTAAGCATCTTAAACGAAAGCGATTATTGGTATGTTTATAAAAGAAGTTTTAATTATCAGAAATTGTACAATGAGCTGGTTACAGTTTCAGCAGCTTAAATAACACTTACAATTGACTTCCTTCATACATCTTTATGTTTACAAGTGTTAGCTCGATAGAATGTGTTTAGAATGAGAGTGAAAAGAGTGCTTTCATCGTCAACAACAATAACAAAATCAACATCACATATTTTCAAGGAAATGAAGGTTTTTGCTTATCTAAAGATTTCGTTGAAACATTCAAACTACTTCTCGAAAACTATGACTAATTCAAATGAAACAGCTGTCTGTTTTATATTTCATTATTATCAGTGATTCTCATGTTGAAGTGAAATACCGAAAGAAACTACTTTTAAATTTATAATGATTTATTATCACAAGAAAATACCACTAAATTCAACTTAAGCATGAATGCATAATCGAGCAATAAACTTTGTTTTCATTTTTTTTTCTCAGTTAAATACAACGGAAATACTATATCTTCATAATTCATATTGTTTTCTTTTGAAATAACTTCACTTACATGCTTTTCAATTCACTAATTACTTTTCATTAAGTTGTATTGGATTTTTACAATTGCTTCATGTAACTAAAATTACACGGGTAAATAACCTTTATTTCTCGTTTAATTTACCCGATTCAATCACACACTCATGAGTCATATGACCAGATAGAGAACAAATGTTCACTTTCATTGTTTATTTCAGTAGACCCTGCATATGTAATCATCATTTCACGAAATGAGTGTCATTCAGTAATTTACAAATTTCTCGCTCTTCTCCCAAAGAATGTGCAGGTATATCGTTTATTTGTTAATATATGAAGACGATTACTGGATATTATATTACATGCAATAATTTACAGTTCGTAAATATAAATAATAAAAAGTTCAGAAAAAAATCCAAACAGATACCGAAAGCATATGATTTGTGTAGTAATGCTTGTTTGATTCCGCTTTTCAGCAAAATAGACTTGTGTGAAGTAGAAAAAGTAACAGGTTTTACTTAGAATAACCAAAAAAAAATCGGTTTCATTTTGTACGAATCACTTATGTTCACTGCAATATATGTCTTGATTGAAGTGATGATAAAAAAAGTAAACAGTCTAACTGTTTCTACATGGACATACTGCTCCGTTATGCCATATTTGTGATTATCAGTGGCGGTTTTGACTCATTGACTGCTGACTTGTTAGTGACAGATGCCTTGGCACGGCCCCGTCGAAATCATCTCCATCCGATCCCCCATGACGTTCGTATTACGTAACCCGCAATGACCTCAGGACGACGTAATAACGGTGCACTACAACCAAATAAGACCAGATCGGACAACAGTACTTGCTGATGCTCGGTTCACCGATCCATCACATGCTACTAGTTTTTATGAGATGTTGGCTGAAGGAGGAGCAGCATATCTTTATCCGAGACAAGGCACTGAGGACAGTGCCTCATTAGGAGAGGGGATGGTGTAACGAAGTTAAAATCACTATGTATGATGTTGCTAACCCATTCTGTCTTCTGTCGATTGCACGGCAATCAAACATAAACGCTTTGAAAGCTGAAAAACAAGCTTTGAGTGCTCTGAACTTACAGGATGACTCATAAAACTTTGGTAAACAAGCAATCCCTTTTCTGTAAAAAAAACCCGCGACATTTAATTTTAAAATAAAAAGTGCCGTGGCTACCACTTCGTGTTCTCTCTTGGTGTGAAGTGCTCAGCTAACCTTGTGTGTTGTGATTTTAGATCTTATCCGCCCTTCAGGGGCAGCTAAGTAATTCTAAAATCCCTTTCGTTCGACGTGCATTTTTCAATGTAAAAAATATACTCCCATGTAAATCATCGTTAACTTGTGAGAGCAAACAAGATCACCTTAACTGAAATACACAACATAAAATTGAAGATGTCATCAAAATTATTCACAAAGATTTTACTGAAATTATAATTTAATCTAATAAGATTCAGTAAAATGAATTCAATCAGTGATAGTTATTGTTTGGAAACCATTACTACTGTAATTTATTTGATAATATCTTCAAAAAATTAAATTGAAAGTTTAATGTTTAAATTTTAAGAATAACATTTCAGTTGGGTAATACACAGAACAGAGTTAGTCTAATGATTTATACCCGAAATAAACTTATCACAGATAAATTAAGCTGATTATAAAAATTCTAATTTAGAAATGTACATTTTGAAATTTTTAAATATTACTTAATTTTGGTAAGTAGTATTCATTAGTCAAAAAATGCAACATAAGCAAACATTGTGTTAGATTTACCTTGATTGATGATATTCTCATTTGAATTTGTTTGTTGATCAAGTGAATTTGCAGGATTCATTTTTAACGTATTTACCATACAATTTACAAATAAAAATAAGATGCTCTCTAAATTTATTTCCAACAGTTATTTTATTCCAAATTGTTAGTATATCCTTCAAAAATGAATTTGATTAGTTAATTTTAAATATGCTTGAAATAATTAATTATAGTCACAGTTATTTATCAGTACAAAACTGATTATAAAGTAGGATCTTCATGAGGTATTCATTAGCATACACATATGACTGATAATCTTCAAAGTTCCAAGTTAATTTGAAAGAATCATCATCATTCAGTATTATTTTATTGGTCAAAATTCTACCAATCAGTTAGCCAATGAAATAAATTAATGATTGGCCTAAATAATAACGTAAACTAAGTGAATTCATTCACAGTCTTGTAGACAATGTTTCCAATGCACTAGATCATCATAGGCTTTGAGCGACAAAGAGAGATATTTTCTGACGAAGTGATTGACACACTAGTGCTTAATAGGAACAAAATAATTATGGTTATAAAGTGTATTTCAGAAGAAAAACAATTAGGTGTCAAAACAGAGAAAGTCCTTTATAAGCATAAGCAACTTTGACTTCTAAATGTGTATAAAGTCAATCAGTAAATATGCATGTTAACATTTTTAGCAAACTTGCTGATTATTTACAGAGAAAAAAAAATGAAAATTTCGTGATAGATTTCTTTAGATATTTATATAATTTAAATTATTGACTGGTGATTACAACAAATATTGAGTGAATGTGTTGCTGTTTCGTTCTCTGAGTGAATGCATTCATCTATTTAGCCAGACATATTGATGAGTATGGTTAATGTCAAACTAGTAGTGTCAGTCAATAGTCTATTGGAATAGTGTATAGTATGCAGGAAAGTACATAATAAACTCATCCGAATCATGAATTCTGCATTCACTTACAAGAAACAACAAATTTCTTTGTTCTGACAAATACTTACAACAAGTTGACTCGTAAATGTCAACAATAACTTACTAACATCGTTTACTTGCTAACACGAATCAAAAAGTATCGATTCTCATACGTATATCCATTGAATAAAACCATCCGTGAAATTTGTGGAAACTTATTGTGACGGCCTGAAAAGATAGAGACTTAAGTCGTTCAAGAAGCCTGAAAGATACAAAATCACAAATATTCATTGAAAAAAGACTACAAACTTTATTGCTCCTGTTTGAAGCTTGAAATATCAACCTTCATGTTGATAAAACTATAACAAAATGGATATAAAGTGAATCAATGTAAACATTTTGCACTTCAGTATCTGCCAAAAGAGAGAAGCGTTTAAGACGTATGGAGCGTTGAAAAATATCTATTTTGCATCAACTGATCAAACTTAGAAATATGGTTAGCAGTGGAATCCAGAATGCACGTTTCTTCCTTTTTTGCATTCGTCAGCTGGACATACTTGCATCTCAATGTTCATAATCCGGGTCAGTTCAAACTGAAAGTAAAAACATATTCATTTTCTCCAACCATGCGTATTTTCATAAAAGGTTTATGCATTCTGCTAGAAAATTGTATAGTAACAGTCTTCATGTGAGAGCAAATGTCTGTCGGAACTCAACAGCTAATTGGGTAACACGATTGAGTTTGAAGCGAACAGTATTGAGTTCTAATCTCCGAGTAAACATTCACTTTGGGTTGAAGATAAATGAAGCTGACAAATGCCAAATAAGACAAGCATGAGACTTAAATCTCCCTAACTATCTCTATTTTCACTCATTCAAAAACAAAACATGCATTAGGTAGATTGTTATGCATAACGTTAATGGCATATCTCTACAATATATATTAACCATGAAGAAGTGGTTTACACTGAGAAAAAAAAATATAGTTTATGATTTTCCTACTATGAACTCAATTTTTATAAACACAATTTGATGAACAGGAATAAAAATGCACAATTGAATCGATGATAGACAAATATATTTACTTAAAATAGTAAGATAGATAAAACGATTCCATAGACAGATTTTCAAGTACTTCAAAATAATATCAAGTGATGTAATTGAAACCATCATCATTAGATAAACTGACATTTCTATCATTCAATAGCACCGAATCCAAAGGGATTGTTTCGACTGGATTTACGCCTTAAATGTTAACACATTGATTATCAAATACTACACAACATCATTTACTGAATAGTTTAATACATCACATCATTTCCTTACATGACATTTTCTTGAAAATGCATTTACCACGATATATGTACGACATTTCGACATCTTCATTAATAGTAGTAGTAGTAGTAGACGTAGTAGAAGAAGAAGTAGAAGTAGTAGTAGTAGTGTGGTGAGCGTTACTTATAAGTAGTATTTGACGCGAGTGTAAACGTAATGTCTGGCAGCAGACGATGGGGGAAGATCAAGAAAGGAAGAGCGGGAGGAACACAATGAAATTTGTATGAAACGCATGAATAATGAAATGTCAGACAATGGATTGATGATGGACTGAAGATTTACATATTAACGGTTACGAAATGGTTTTCCTATTTTACTGAGTAACTCTGTAATTTTCTTTAAATACAATTTGGTTTCCCTCACCTGTGTTCTCCTTCACTACAGTAGTAGTAGTAGTAGTAGTAGTAGTAGTAGTAGTAGTAGTAGTAGTAGTGGTAGTAGTATTTGTAAAAAACAGTAAACGAGTCGACAGTTACATTTTCTTAAATTACTGCAGAAAAAAACGTGATTTTCTTCTTCTTTCATTTTGCGTCCTATTTTTTCTGAGCATTTTTTTTAATTCAATTAATTAATCGTCCTCTTGATTGAATACTTCCTGTAATCAATAAATGTATTCATCATTTTACTATTGTAGAAAATATAATTATTTCTTATCTTAATATGATGCCAAGTTTAAAAAATAATTAATTTCATTTGTTTTTCGTCATTTTATTGTTCAATAAAATGAAATGTGAAACTTTTATTCACCGTAATGATTTAAACAAATAGTCTCTAGATGATAATTTAACTTAACTCTCTCTCTCTCTCTGAATAGTGTGGCTGATTGTTGGATCGATGAGAAAAAGTCAACTAATCACTCCTCGTTCATCAATCACACTGACTATTCACATCAGCATCAAAATCTATTTGATTAAAATGTCGGAAGAGACTGGTTGATCATTAGTAATCTTTTCACTGATATTAACCATTCACTGGCCTCATTTTCATGAATTTGTAGTTGACTTGTTCCGAACGAACAATGATACTACTGAAGGCATTGAACTCTATTTATAGTAGTATTTTTAATGTGATTATTTTATGATACTTGATAATTGATAAACCAACATGCATTTATTTAAGAAAACAATCACCTTTCTTACCTAACTGTAAGAAAGGATTTGTAACTTTTGTTAGTTTAATATTCTGGATGTTTCATTTTGAACACCTTTACTGTTGGTCCTGACCAATATCATTAGACATAAGGTTTCTATTCAAGACCAAACAAGTCCTTCTTTTAAAGTTTCATCATAAGTTAATATTTTACACAGAAAGTATCGACTGTTGCCTGCCTGACTTAAAAACTTCCGATTAATGATATTTCTAAGCAGTGAAATTCAAGCAAAGGTTATCTATCAATAATTATAAGTTATTTCTTGTAAACACTGATAATCTATTTGAAATGGAATTTAGGTGGTATAAACTGAATGTTGTTGTTGTTGTTGTTGTTGTTTTATTTACTTCTGAACATAACATCTCGGTTGAATTAGTTGTAATATAAGATAGAAATAATGCTGATCTATTTTATTTATAAAAAACTGAAAATATTTAAGGTAAAACTTGCACATATAATGAAAAAAAAAAGAAATTCATTGTCCCTCATAACTTGTAGGTCATGCACATTCCTATGGTTTATGTGTAAACCTTTGTGATGAATGCCAAAGTCCAATTAGTAAATTATAAAAAATTTTAATTCACTTCGTAAACTTAATGCATCGTAAATTTGATCAATAAAACTTCATAACCACTAGAATACTACTATGATGATAAAAATGGATTTTAGAGGCGATTTCTGACACTCAGATAAGGTATATTTAATTGAACTGCCGAATAGATAGACTGCTATAGTCGTCCCATTTCTCGTTTCTAAACTGATGTAAAAGTTGCATGAAGTGATAATTCTCTTTAAAGATTAGTCCTGATGACTAGAATGAAAGCTTTGGATTAAAACCATTCCGCTTGATGAACATAGAACTTTTCTTTGAAATTAAGCCACTGATGTCCGTAGTTAATGCTTATAAGAGGAAAGAATGTGTTGACTCATACATGCATCTAATTTAACCGTATTTTGTTAGTTGGACTTACATGTTTTTGGATGCTCATGCAGAGAAGTAGCTCAAAAAAAGCGCTGTTATTGAAATAAATATTTTAAAAAACCATTTCATAGAAATGAATTCCTCCAGTTTATCTGTTTGTTTGTTTATCTGATATATAGTTTTGAATTCCAATATATCTTTGTGAGGAGCAAAGTATAAACTCTTCTCATGAACTCATGACAATGATTTGAGTTCGGATAATAACAAGTACTATATTAAAGTTAATTACTTGCTTACATACTGGATTACCTACGCCTATTACCCATAAACGAGTATAGGCTGCCAACCAACGTTCTCTAACCTACTGTGTGTTTTCCCGTTCCACCTGACTGCTACTCATTCTTTTCAGATCCGCTTCCACTTCTCAGTGTAATATGTTATTTGATCTCCCTCTTCTCTTCCAAGCTAGGCTTTGTCTTGTGATTCTTACGGAATCCAAACTTATGATCTCAAATTTGGGCGTTCACTGAATCTTTCATTCGGTTTAACAACACTCTGTTGAAGAATTTTCTCGGTATTAAGAGATGAGTTATGTCTCTGTGGCTCTCACACTCGCTGAAATCTCCTTTCTTTGACATCTTGATGAGATGCTCTTCCTTTCAGTCTGTTGGTACTTGTTCTTGATGAACAGAGTGCAACATCTTTTCAGTTTCCGTTATGTCTGCTTTCAATAAC